CAGGTGCAAGATCTTGGCCAAGTTAACACTAACATCTTTAACACGGTTACTTAATTTGTAAAATTGACATATTTTCTCTGAAAATGCTGAGTTGAGGAGTTGTGGTGTTATGATGTATCTATATATCTATATCTATCTATATCTGTCTATATATACAGGTTTTCATGGATGGTTTCTATGAAGTTTCATAACTCCCATTCAGTCCTTGTTATAATGTTGAGAGCTTTAGGCCTCAGGAGCATCCTCAGGAGACAGAATCTCTCTCTCTCTGATCTTCTCCTGTCCTCCTTTCACCTGTCCAAGGCAGGACCCTAGTCTGATTGTGGGTCAAAACACCCTCCAGAGAGGGTCCTGCCCCCACAGGCTGGAGGAAGGAATGCTACACAAAGAGACCAGGAAGAATCTGAACAGACAGGCCTTGCTAGGTTTAGATCATGTGCTTTTTGTCCATTCACATTTCTACACAGTTGTCAATCACGCCTGTGTAAGGAAGCCTCCATAAAAACCAAGAGGATAGGTTCAGGGAGCCTCCGGATAGCTGAACATGAGGGGGTTCCCAGAGTGTGGCGCACCCAGGGAGGGCATGGAAGCTCCATGCTCCTTCCCCCATACCTCACCCTATGCATCTCTTCAACTATATCCTTTGTAATATCTGTTATAATAAATCAGTAAACCTAAGTGTTTCCCTGAGTTCTGTGAGCCACTCCAGCAAATTAATCAAACCCAAAGAGGGAGGGGATCATGGAAATCCCAACTTGAAACTGGTCAGTCAGGAGCTCTGGAGACCTAGACTTGCTACTCGTGTGGGCGGATGGGGTGGGGAGGGGGACTCATTTTTGGAACTGAGTCCCCAACCTGTGGGATCTGACACCATCTCTGGGTAGTGTCAGAATTGAATTAAAGGACACCTAGCTGGTGTGCCCTGCTTAGTGTGTGGGGAAAAACCCCACATTTGGTCACAGAAATCCTCTTCTGTGTTAATTGTTGTAGAGTTTGGAGGAAAGCTCTGTTTGGGGAGTGTTTTTCTCAAAGCAATGGGGTATACCAAATGCTGAGCTGAGTGCCTAATGCACAGTAGGTACTCATTATCTGATCCAATCATGTAGCATTAGGTATGACTTATACATGGTGAGTTCCCAATTTAGTTCTTCAAAGCAGATCTTTTGCTCTACAACATGTAATCCAGCTGCCTACTCAAAATTTTCACTCTTATATCTAATTGCCGTCTGAAAGGTAACAAGTTCTAAAACAAATTCCTGATTTCCTTCATCCCCAAACCTACTCCCCCTCCCTCACCCCCATCCGTATTAATGGGACTCCATTTTTCTAGTTGCTAAGCCCAAAATTCTTGGAATTATCTTTAACTCCTCTCTTTCTCTTACAATCCACATCTAATCTTTCAGGAAATTATTTTAGTTGTACCTTCTAAATGTATAGTCAAGATTTCTACTTATCCACCTGTCTACTACTATCATTTTGGTCCAAGCCACCATTATCTCTCACCTGAATTATCACAATCACCGTTTAACTGCTTATATTCTTTCCTTTCTGTGATCTATTCTCTAGAGTACATTTTTAAAAATCAAAGTCAGAGAACGTATGTCACCCTTCCACACAATACCATCCAATGCATTTTAATCTCACTTGTGGCCAAATCCAAAGGCCCTAAAATGTCTGAAAGTAGGGCCTTGCATCCTCATCTACTGTCCTGTTTGCTCATTTTACTTCACTCGTACTGATCACTTTGCTGCTTTTCCAATATGCTAGACATAATTCCACCACAGGTCCTTTGCACGTGATGCCATTTCCTCAGCCTAAGCTGTCTTTACTCAATGTCTTACTCCCTCACTTCTTTAGTTCTTTCCTCGAGTAGCAACGAACGCTTCTAGTTCAGAATATACCATAACAACACCTACCATTTCCTGTACCCTTTTGTTTTTCTCCTAGCTTTAACTGCAGCCTGTTGTGCTTTACATTTGTTTATTTTAATATTCATGGATCTAAGGACTCCGTTGCTTTTCTCCACTGTATCTCTAAAATGCAGAAAAACGAGTGACACTTAGTTAAGTACACGATAAATATTTGTTCAGTGACTATATA